GCGGCGCGCCCCTGCCCACGCCCCTACCCCGGGCTCGGGAGTGGGAGACGCGAAAGGGGCTGCGGGCACGCCGGCCCGGTGAGAGGGGCGGGGCCTAGGGGCGGAGCCGAGGGAGGGAAAGGAGGAGGGAGAGGGAGGGGGTGGGGGCGATTAGAGAAGACAGGCACCCCGAGACTGGAGTAGGAGTGTGGTGGGGAAATGGGGAGGGGGCTTGTTCCCGCGGTAGAGGAAAAGAGGCAGGGGCAGAAAAACAGGGGAGTTTGGGGTGAGAGTGAGCCCACCCAAGAGGAGGTCAGGAAGAGAGGGGGTCCTGAGATCCTGTTTTGCGCGTGGGGGACTAGCAGGCGGCAGAGGCGTGGAGGAGGCTCCTCGCCCGGGAGTTTGGGGTCTGGGGATCTTCTGTCGACATGAAGACTGGCTGGCAGGTGAAGACCCGAGAAACAGTTAAGGAGAGCCCCAGCCACGGAAGGGTCCCAGCTCACACTGCCGGATCCCAACGACCCTGGCTCCAAGGGGTGGGAGGAGGCTTTGAATCAGCGCAAGCCCTGTGAGTGACTCCTGAATCACAGGTCCCAGCGCTGTACTAAGTGTCTTTGAGTCACTTCTCTGGTCCCTACGGACTCGCAAGCCAGGAGCCTCCAAACCCAGTTGGCGAATAAGCGGTTTAGTGGCAAAAAGGAGACCCATGGAGTTTCTCAACCTTAGCAGGCTGAGCGCCCCACACTGGCTCCAAGCCTCCCACCATGTCCTTGTCGCCCATCGATCCCAAAGCCTGCCTGCCTGTCTGCACAGGGCTCAGGTCCTGGGGAAGCAGGACTTGCTTTGCAAACAGTTCTTTCCCATCCTGGCTAGTCTGTCCCCGTGACCTTGAGTCACAAGGATTCCTCCCTGGGCCTGAGCTGCCTCCTCCATCAGGGAGGGTTTAGACAGAAAGATCCCAACAGACTCAAGTTTCATCCTAGCCTTTTCTGACTCAGTCTTTCCAGGCTCCCTTCCTTGTCCTTTGGACCAGGGCTTTAAAGATGGGATTGTGAGCAGATGAGATGGCATTGGTGTCCTGAGCCGGACTAAATCAGTGGGAACACAAGGCAAGTCGAGTCAAGTCCTTCTGTGTCAAGTCCTTCTGTTAATGGCCTTTTCAACCTCATGCTAATTTTTTTTGGGGGGTAGAGTTTTCCCTATAGGGCGCGTGTGCTCGCCAGACAGACAGACAGAGAGAGACATAGAGACAGAAGGCAAGAAATCACCCCCCAGAGAGGATGGTCACGCCGCAATCCCTTCTCCTCCACTCTCCTCCCGGGATCCTGCGCGCGCACGCACGCACACGCACCGGGCGTGAGATCTAAGCTACCGGGTCCGGGACCGGTCCAGGACGCGAACCGCGGTCTCTACTACATGGGAGTCCAGCGACATAGCCATTACGCTAACTGTTGGTTCCCAACCTCATGCTGATTTTCAAAGGGGAGAAGGTGATGTGTAAAGAGTATCTGTCAAGGGGCAGGCAGGTGGCGTGGTGGTAAAGGGCACTGGACTCCACATGGCCCACCAGGATTCAAGACCCAGACTGGGAGGCTTCCTTTCTTAGTTTCCCTCTCTCTCTCTGGACCTCTCTGGTCAAATTAAAATAAAATAAAGTTAAAAAATAAATTTATGGAAGAAAATTGTTTCCTCCACTCCATGAACATCCAGGATCCCAAGCCTGTGCCTGACTCTGGGCAAGGTACAGGAATCCTGAGGTGAATGAAGCTTAATGTCACCCTCCTGAGGTCTACAGGAATCCAGTGCAGATGCCAGTCATTCAAATGCAGGGAGGCCGGCATGGCACCGCATAGAAATGCATAGAAATAAGTGTTAGTACAAAGCACAAGGCACTCATGAGGGTGTGGCTGGAGTGACCACCAAGAAAATGCTTTTTGGATCCATGTCTAAGGATAAGCCAACGCACTTCCCCGAACCGGGAGTGTAAAATACCAGCTAGTGGGGATTCTAAACTCTAGACCAGAGTCAGCCTTGGGAGCATCCACAGCCTAGCTAGGCATGTGGCCAACACAGAGACCTTTCTTCCGAGGTCCAGCACACCTCACCAGGGGTGAGATAGAGGGACACGGGCAAACCCCTGTGTGTCCGTTGGGAATGTTTTAGTTACAACTACTGAAACACCTATTCTAACTGTCTTAAAAGTAGATTATATTGGTTCTCATAACTAAATAGTCCAGGTGAGGTTTGGTGCAGCAACTCAGAACTGTCACCTGGGATTCCTTTTCTTTGCATCTTTCCCTTCTGACTTTCATGGATTCTCCTTCACAGGGTTCAATCTTCATGTCACAATTGCTGAGACCGCTTGTGTCCTTTCTTAGTTTCTATCCCAGGGGAAGGAAGGTCAGACTTCCCAATGCTCTTTCTTCTCAAAGCAAAGGTCTAAAAGTTGTCGCTGATTGAGCCACCTTTCGGTCCTCAGCCATCCCTGAGCCGATCACTGTGCCCAGGGAGCTAGAATGTGCTCACCAGCTGGGCCACACCCCATACTCCACCTCCAGCACTGAAGACAGCCTCTCTGCAAACACCTAGATGCTCTGTAGAGATCAGGGTTTAATGGGAAGGAGAAAGTGGAGCAGGGGGGCAGACAACCCCTCATCTAATCCATGCAGCCTCCATGAGGTTACATGACCTTGGGCAAGTCACCTCCCCACCACGGCCTCACTTTCTTCAGTGCCAAATAAGGGGTTAGATGAGACAACTCAGGACCAGCAGGTGGTGTAATGGTTACATTGCTGGACTCCCACATGGTCAACTACAGTTCAAGTCCCAGACCTGGCAACTTAAAACTCACGCTGGGCATGTGTGCATGCATGCCCAAAATCCCAAGAGGAGAATAAATGGAGAAACAGGAATTGCAGTGTGACCATTCCCCCTCAGTGGGGGAGAGGGGGAGTGATTTCTCGCTTTCTGTTTCTCTGATTCTCTTTGTGTCTCCTGTGAGCACATGTGCCATATAGCAAAAATCTCTCTAAAAAAGAAAAAAAAAAATGAGACAACTCCTCAAGAGTTGCCCTGTCACCAGGACTCCTCTTAGTGTCTGAACAGAGCTTTCCCATCACAGCAGAGGCAGCCTTGAGGATTCCTGGCAGCCTGCCCTCAGGCCTGCCCTAGCTTTCATGTTACTCCTGTGTCCCCCACCCCCACCCTGTCCCAAGTGATGTGATCTGCCTCCTCCACATGACACATTTAACCACAGTCCTTTGGGGCCCACGTGTGGGTTCAGCTCCCTCAGGGGCCACAGGCTTAAAGAGTGAGGTTAAAGATCTGGGGCCCTGTGTCCCTAGAGAGGATGCGTTGTTTGTTTATCCCGACCCATAAAAAGCCACGCAAGAAAGAGGTTTAAAAGCTCCAGGCAGGTTATGGACGCCATAAACAGCTTATGTGATGTTTTTAGGATGAAAAATCACCTGAGATAGAGGAGCAGAAAAGCAAACTCCTGGGGTCACCGGGACCATCCTCCTCCCCTGAGACAGAGTCCTCCAATGTCTTTGGATGAGAAGATGAGGCCAAGAGGAGACTGAACCGCAGATGAGCTGGGGTGGAGGAAGGGGGCCCATTTGGGCATATCTGAAATGCTCATCTCAGCCTGAGGGAACACAGTTTGAGGTGCCAGAATCCCTGGAAGCAGGAGATGGGCATCCTAACTCTCTGAGTCACTTCTCTTAGAAGGGGCCCTGCCTTTCCACCACCACCACCCCCACAGTGGTGCAAAGCGGGGCAGGTGGAGCCCCAAGCCAAGGACAGAGCAGGAGGTACGGCCAGAGACTGGCGGCAGCTTCTAGCACCAGCAGCAGGGTCCTGAGAATCTTCAAAGCTCATTCGCTCATTCAGCAAAGATGCATCGGGCCCAATTATATGCCAGGATCATGCTGGGCAAGAGAAATATAGGTATGAAAAAGATTCTCTAAGGAACTCTTCCTTTTCAATACATTTTTGACTGGAAGCCAGAGCTCCAAAGAACTTCCAGGCTGATGTGTGGAACTCCCTCCCCAACTTTACCCCAAGCCTTATTTCATTGTCACTTTCCAGAGAGGGGAAGGGAAACCAGCTAACAAGTAGTTTTGAGTTCCCGGGTGTGCCCAGCTCTGAGCGAGAGGCTACGTGAGTGGAAACAGGAGACGAGGGTCTTCACCTCAAGGAGCTGTCAGAGAGATCCCGGGGACAAGAGTGATATCTAGACACCTAGCACGGAGTCGGTGGGGAGAGGAGGTAAGAGCCAGATATGCAGGCTTCATGCCCTGAGACTCTGAAGTGCCACTCAGTAACTTTCCCTATGCCTCAGTTTCCTCATCTGTAAAATGGAGCTAGTAGTAGGGCCTTTCTTATGTGTGTCTTGTAAGTAGGAAATGAGGTAACTCGTATAAAGATTTTCATCTATATAAATAAAAATGCTGCCTAATTCATTGTAGTCCTTTTGTCATTCTGGGAT